ACGACACCCAAAGTGCTCACGGTCGGTAGAGAATACTTAGGCGAATTTATAGGAAACGTAGCGGGGGAGATTCCGACAATAGGAAAAATCATAACCCTCGACTTTTCTAAATGTTGTCCACACATTTGCTCTGTTAGTTATAAATTACTGTATTTTAATTATTCTTATCTTAGTTAGTAAACACTCAAGTCGATATTTAGTATTTATGAAGGTTGATTACTTGAATTCTTGCGAAACTAGTGATTGTGATTAATAGGTTAATTTCCTATGGGATTCGACTCCGGACATGTAAACCGGATTATATTTGCAATGACCGCTAGATCTCTTAGGATGCGTAGTTGGGCGAGATCAAATTTTAGCGTTGTTGCCGGAGAATTAACGGTGTTATTAATTACAACTAGAAGAATTGTTAAGATCCTAAGTTTAGTCAATTTTCTTCATTTTAAATTCATTATATTGAAATTCTTACGTTTGTAGTCTTGTGTGTTACAGGTACATGCCTAAAAACTCCTCAAGAACTGATGAATTGTTTGAAGCATTACTGGATCCTAAGAAAGCTTTCAAGGCATTAAATCGTACAAACAAGAAGGACAAACGACAACAAAACCTAACAGAACAAATCGAACTAGAAATGGGGGACGTCATAGACGACCAGAACAACCAAAACAATGTGAATGATGCGAACAATCAGGGTGTGGCACCTCTTGTGCCAGAAGCAGCCTTGTATGATTGGGCACAAGCCACCGTTGAAAATCTGACAACCGCAATTGCAGTCCCTCAGATACAAGATGAGTCATTTCAAATCACAAATAATATGCTACATCTGCTGCAGAACAAAGGGATTGTTCTCCGGGTCTTATATTGAAGATCCACAACAACATCTGAAAAACTTTTTGTCAATTTGTGTCACTCAAAGGCAACCAAATGTGATAACAGAAGCAATCAGACTGTTATTGTTTCCATTCTCAGTGTTTGGAGAAGCTCAGACTTGGCTTAATTCGCTCCCCATAAACTCCGTCACCACTTGGGAGGAATTAGTCAAGCAGTCTTTGAATAAGTTCTACCCACCCAATAAGACTGCCAAGAAAGTTGATGAGATATTGAGCTTCAGACAGAAACCAGCTGAAACACTACAAGAAATGTGGGAGAGGTTCAAAGGTATGCTGGTTAAGTGTCCACATCATGGCATTCTAGATCAGATGTTGGGACACAGGTTTTACATGGGATTGACAGATAGTTTGAAGGCCAACGTTGATGCTTCAGCAGGTGGAGCATTTTTGAGCAAATAATTTAGAGAGTGTAAGGTCCTGCTAGATAAAATGGCTCAAAACTCAGGATGGATGACAAAAGACACAACATTCACCCTTATAGTTCACTCAGTAGCTTTGGACCTAAACAACTCCATAGCCGAGAATATGGCCACTCTGATGACGTATATGAGTATCCTCACCAAGAAGATTGATGAATCAGGCCAGAAGCAGGTACACATAGTTAACACGACTAATGGGGGATTATGTACACCATGAATTAACCAACCATATGTGTACTCGTAGAGTGGTGAAAGTGACAATCAGAACTATCAGGAGAATATGAACTATGTGGGCAACTATGGAGGCCAGAGGCAAGGTGGTCAAAATTGGGGGCAGTAGAATCAGCAGTATATACCAGCACAACGTCAGTACAATAACAACAATTCTGGAGCTATGTGACCACAGGGTCAAATCGTAATTTACCAAAGGCAACAGGGATACAATCAACAAAATCAGCAGCTAGCTTATCAACAACCTCAACAACAACAGATAGTGAGACAAGATGATGGGTTGTCTGAAATTAAAGGAATGTTGCAGCAACTGATTGGGTCCAATGGAAAAATGTAAGAGAAGGTAGAAGCATATGACTCAGCGATAAAAGACATTGATATTCAATTAGGGTAGATATTTATGGCTCTGAATAATCGTCCCCAAGGGACTTTAACTACACATGTCAATCCGAAAGAGCAGGGCCCGAAGCAGCTTATGGCGGTGAATCTAAGAAATAGTAGAGATCTTGATTTAGAGCAAGAAATTGCTCGCGAAAGCCGACCAAATGAGATACTTGTGCCAGTACCAATTGAGGTGGACAAGTCAACAGGGTTAAAAGAGGTAACAATATAACATGAATAAGAGGAAACAAGAAAATAAAAAGAGGTTGTAAATAAAACTGATAAAGTGCAAGAGAAGGCATCAGAAAAAGTGCCGGGGTAAGATCTAACTCAAGTCACAGGAAGGAAGCGACCTCCAGCACCCTCCCCGCAGAGGTTGGCTAAATATCAGAAGGATGAGCAGTACAAAAAATTCATGGAAATGTTGAAGCAAATTCAGGTAAACATACCTCTAATTGATGCTTTGAGGGAGATGCCCGGTTATGCAAAAATGATGAAGGACTTGATGTATCACAAGTTCGACTTTCAAGACTTGGCAGCTGTGACATTAACTCAGACCTGTGGTGCTGTTGTGACAAGACCTATAACAGAGAAACTATCTGACCCTGGAAGCTTCACAATTCTATGTACCATAGGTAGCTATGCATTCGCCAAAGCATTGTGTGACTTGGGGGCGAGCATAAATTTAATGCCATTGCATTGGCTATCTATAAAAAGTTAGGAATTGGAAGATCAAGGCCCATATCTATGTTACTACAACTAGCTGACCGAATGGTGAAAAAGCCATCAAATATACTTGACGATTTACTTGTGCAAGTTGGAAAGTTTTTGTTTCTGGCAGATTTTATCATTCTGGGCTGCCAGGTTGATGAGGAGATTCCCATAATTTTGGGAAGGCCATTCTTGGTCACATGAAGAGCTTTGATTGATTGTGAAACTGGAGAGATGAAAATGAGGCTAAATAACGAATAAAATAACATTTAATGTGCAAAAGTCTATGCGGCAACCCAGTGAGTCTGAAAATTGCTCTTTGATAGAAGTTGTGGATGTGATCATGGAGAAAGCTGATAAGGCACTTAATGCAAAAGACCCTCTAGCAACCTACCTCATGAACTTAGAATAGGTAAATGGTGAGGACTTAGCGGAGTGGGTGTTGGCTCTTGAAGGCCAAGGGTACTAGAAAAGAGAGCTCGAATTCGAGTCTTTACACTTAGAATAATGAAAGACCCCTCCAGCTAAGCCATCGATCGAAGAGCCAGCCACCACAATAATGAAAGACCCCTCTAGCTAAGCCATCGATCGAAGAGCCAGCCACCACAGTTGGAACTGAAACCGCTACTATCTCACCTCAGGTATGCTTTCTTAGAACCTTAATCGACTTTACTTGTTATTATCTCATCTGGTTTGTTAGATGTGCATGTAGAACAACTTTTGCAGGTGGTAATAGAGTGCAAGACTACAATTGGTTGGACCATTGCAGATATTAAGTGTATCAACCCCGCCTTCTATATGCATATAATTATACTGCAAGATGTGCACATACCTTCCAAAGAACATCAAAGAAGGCTAAACCCCAACATGAAAAAGGTCGTGAAGAAGGAAGTGATCAAGTGGTTAGATACGCGAATCATTTTTCCCATCTCCGACAGCAACCGGGTTAGCCCTGTTCAGTGTGTGACAAAGAAAGGCGGAATGACTGTGGTGCAAAACGAGAACAATGAGTTGATCTCAACAAGAATAGTCACGGGATGAAAAATTTGTATGGACTACAGAAGATTGAACAAGGCCACCCGAAAAGACCATTTTCCCCTGTCGTTCATTAATCAAATGTTAGATGGATTGGCAGGGAGGTCCCACTTTTGCTTCTTGGGTGGATACTCGGGGTATAATCAGATCTCTATTGCCCCAAAGGATAGAGAGAAAACTTCATTCACCTGTCCATATGGTATCTACGCTTTTCGGAGAATGTTGTTTGGCCTCTACAATGCACCCGCCACATTCCAAAGGTGCATGATGGCCATCTTCACAGATATGGTAGAAGACATAGTGGAAGTTTTCATGGATGATTTCTAAGTGATGGGAAACTCATTCGATGACTGCCTTAGGAATCTAAAAAGAGTGCTGAAGAGATGTATGGAGACTAATCTGGTGCTAAACAGGGAAAAGTGCCATTTCATGGTACACGAAGGTATAGTCTTGGAACACCCAGTATCAAGTATGGGCATTGAGGTGGATCGTGCTAAGGTTGATGTAATAGAGAAGTTGCCGCCACCCACTTCCGTCAAGGCAATAAGAAGTTTCCTTGTCCGCGCCGGTTTCTACAGGCGGTTTATAAAAAAATTTTCCAAGCTTGCTAACCCTTTGTGTAAATTGCTTGAAAAATATCACCCCTTTGTGTTTTCTGATGACTACAGTGTAGCTTTTGAGGAATTGAAGAAGAGGCTAGTGTCCGCACCTATCATAGTTTCACCCAACTAGGAGCAACCATTTGAGTTGATGCGTGATGCAAGCAATTATGCTGTGGGAGCAGTACTAAGGCAAAAAAAAGGAGAAAGTCATGCACCCAATCTACTATGCAAGTAGAACCATGAGTATTGCCCAACTAAACTACACGATGAATAAGAAGGAGATGCTTGCAGTGATGTTCACATTTGACAAATTCAGGTCATACTTAATAGGCTCAAAAGTAATTGTTTATACTGACCATGCTGCTTTTAGGTACCTAATTGAGAAGAAGGATTCAAATCCGTGCCTGATTCGATGAATGCTATTGCTGCAAAAGTTTGACTTGGAAATCCGTGACCGAAAGGGAATGGAAAACCAAGTTGCCGATCACTTGTCCAGGCTTGAAGGAGCTGAAAAAAGGGTTGAGGTGGAAGAGATCGTGGAGACTTTCCCATATGAACAACTTTTAGCCATGAGCCTTGAGGTAGCACCATGGTATGCAGATATTGCAAACTACCTGGAGAGCGGTATTGTTCCCTATGACTTGTCCTCTATGTAGAAGAAAAACTTCTTTCATGATTCTCGCATGTATTTCTGGGATGAACCATATTTGTTTAGGATTTGTATTGATAACATGATCCGGAGATGTATTCCCGAGATAGACCAAGCTTCTATTTTCCAGGCCTGTCATGCTTCGCCTTATGGAGGCTATTTTGGTGGAGTCAAGACAACTGCTAAAGTGTTGGATTCGGGCTTTTATTGGCCGGCATTGTTTAAAGATGCACATTTTTGGGTAAAGAGCTGTGCTGAGTGCCAACAGACGAGGAATATTTCCTGTCGGCATGAGATTCCCATGAACCCAATTCAAGAGGTAGAAGTATTTGATATATGGAAAATCGATTTTATGGGATCATTTGTCAGCTCATATGGCAACAAGTACATACTGGTAGCTATGGACTATGTCTTGAAATAGGTTGAAGCTGTGGCACCCCCAACAAATAATGCAAAGGGAGTTATTGGTTTTCTAAGAAAAAAAATATCTTCACCCGATTTGGCACTCCAAGAGTGATCATCAGTGATGGAGTCACCCACTTCTGCAACCGAGCCTTTGCAAAGTTGTTGGAGAAATATGGCGTTATCCATAAGGTTGCCACTCCGTATCATCCCCAAACAAGTGGGCAAATGGAGGTGTCAAACAGAGAAACAAGAGTGTTTTGACCAAAATTGTAAATGCTACTCGGATTGATTGGGCGAAAAAATTAGATGATGCACTATGGGCCTACCGCACTGCATTCAAAACTCCGATTGGTATGTCACCGTACAAATTGATATTTGGAAAAGTGTGTCACTTACCGGTAGAGTTAAAGCATAGAGCTTTTTGGGTGCTAAGGCAATTAAATCTTGACTTGGAGGCCGCCGGTACGAGTAGAGTCACAGTTTTGTTACCATACTTTTGAAAGCACTAGGCTGTACAAAAAAAGAATGAAGATGATGCACGATAAACATATTCAAGAATTTTCAAACCCGGAGATGTCGTGTTGTTGTACAACTCAAGATTGAAATTATTTTCGGGTAAGTTAAAATCTAGATGGTCGGGACCATTTAGAGTTGTGCAAGTGTTCTCAAGTGGAGCTATAGAAATTAAAGCTAAGGATGGAACAGACAGGTTTCTAGTCAATGAGCAAAGGTTGAAACATTACTTTGGCATGGATGAGGAAAAAGTGGTATCAGTGATTTATTTGAAGGAGCCTAAAGTGTTGAGTGAACCTTGAGTTCGATTGACTGCATCGTGTCGCGACGTTAAATCAAGCGCTTGTTAAGAGGCAACCCAATCTTCTTATTTTCATCTAGTTGTCATTTAGTTTTTTTTTTAAAAATCTCATTTTAGCGCCCAGATTAGCGCCAGGCGCCGATGAAAATGCCAAAGGCATCAACAAATACACACAACTGCCCTCTTCATCGCTAGGCGCGGAAGAAAATAACAGGTAAGTCCCCTACCCGTTTTACCCCCAACCCAAACCTATCCCCCAACCTAACAATAATAAAACACCACCTTCTAACATAACAACCAACCCGACCCATCACACCATAAACCCCAAATCCCCCATGCTAATTCTTAGACGGAGACTTAGATGGAGAGTGCTCCGACTACGACCTGAATGGGTCCGCTTAGCCAGGGAGTTCCTTCTATCTACCCTCATGCTTTATATTTTTATTGTATGTGCATTGGGGACACAACACTTTTGAAGTGTGGGGTGGGAGTTTCCTTTGATGAGTAGTTGTAGTATGTTAGTACCTAGTAGTAATGTAACTTCTTATTTTTAGATTCTAGCTTCTTTTCAAATTATAGCTTCTTGATCTTAATTGCGTAGTTAATAGAAGTACAACAACAACAACCCAGTATAATCCCACTAGTGGGGTCTGGGGAGGGTAGTGTGTACGTAGACCTTACCCCTACCCTGGGGTAGAGAGGTTGTTTTCGATAGACCCTCAGCTCCCTCCCTCCAAGAACTACCCACCTTGCTCTTGGGGTGACTCGAACTCACAACCTCTTGGTTGGAAGTGGAGGGTGCTTACCACTAGAGAAACCCACTCTTGTCATTTAATAGAAGTAGTATAGTAGAATTAGTTTAGTAGCTTAATTCAGGAAAAAAAAGTTTGGACTGTTCCCGACGATGGATCTCTTGGACAGTTTTCTTGAGGGATTAAGGTCCAATGAAAAAAAAATTAAATTTTTTATTTTTAGTTATTCGTAGGTAGATAATAATCCCCTTGGTTTTTTCTTTTGGCATCAGTTATTTTCCAAGGGATGTATTTGAACCGGGTAAATTTTATTTTATTTTTTATATATATTTTTGATTTTTTAGGAAACACATGGGAAAAAAAAAAAGAAAATTGAGTGTCCTATAGGCCGTTTGACCTGTTTGATGCTAGCATTGTTAGGCCATAGCATGAAAATTACCTTCCTAACATGTTTTAATAGAAATTGTTGCCGTGAAAGATTGAATCGCCTGTCTGTGACGCTTTCTCTCACTTACCTGACTCATTGTTCATGTTGTTCTTTATTGCTTAATACTTCTTGACTTTGTGATTACTTGCCTAAACTTGAGAGTTGGAATGGAACCGTACCGACTGGGGTCATGTGTATTTTGTGATGTGAGATGCTGATTACATTCTGTGCTATCATGTGTTTGTTTAGAACTTGCTCTGTGTGTTAGTCGAAGTGAAATAAGTAAGATTTGTGAGTCTAGGAGATGATGTAGGCGGTTCTTTGATTGCCCATTAAGCTATTATGCCACCATAAACAAAAATTATCCTTAGATAGCCCATTTGAGCCTATAAGCTTTTTTTTAGCACCCACATTACAAGCTGAGTCCCACTTTGTTCTTTAAGTAAATTTTTATTGAACCTTTACCTCCGAAAGCACGTAAGTCTCTAGAAGAGTAAGGTAAGAATTGGGGTAACTTTTGAGTGGAACTATAGAAAAGGCCAAAAAGGTGCACGTATATTTGAAAGATCATTAGACGGGCAACCTAAATTTAGGGAAAGTGTTGGAAAAGGAAAAAAAAAAAAGCAAAGAAAAAAAAAGAGAAAAAAAATATATAGAAAATACACCTCCTATTCATCGTGATCCAGACTAGTGAATGTAGAGTTGCGCTTAAAGAAAAAAGGCCAAGTTGTATATGATTTTGGGGCATTGCTTGTATTGGTCATGAAAAGTGTGTAGTGAAAAGTTAAGTGTAGTGTATTAAAGTGCTTAGGAGGGTGAGTCACTATACCCAAAATATATCCTAACCGTCCCTTAGTCTACATTACAACCCGTAAATACCTAATTGATCTTAGACTTTGCGAGCTTAGATTAGTTGAGATATACACTACGGGCAAGCCTATTGTACAATTATGGAATGCACATAAATTTCTTTGTGAGAGTGAGTGGTTCTTTGTTCATATATGTGATGTCCTTAAATTATATTCGAATGCATATTTGAATGTGTGGATGAAATACCCTCTTATTATTTGGTGAGGCACATGATTCCATGACGGATAGATAACGTTATTAAATATCTCTTATTGTGTGAGTGCACGAGTTGAGAGTGCTTATTGGCGACGAGTCAGTCTTTGAGGTTGGGTGGTTATGGGCAGGTTGTTTGAGTATTTTTAATTGGTCACTAATATTCTGGTATGTGAAAGTTGGGAAAGATATGAATGCGTATGCAAGGGCTTAATTGTTGATATCAACCATGGTCATAAGTGTAGTGTGTTAAATTGCTAAAGGTTCCTCCATTGTATGATGTCTTGTGTGCATTATTTGGTTAGCAAGGTTTTAGGTTGCTCGAGGACGAGCAAGAGCTTAACTGTGGAGTGGTAATGTTAGGCTAAAATTTCATATTTTTGCATGTAATTTGCCTTGCATTATACCTCAATCTTATTAACTTTGGTATAAATATTTGTGACTCAAACTTAATAATAGTATTTATATGTGTAGGAGTCAATTTGAAGTGATTTGGCAAGCTTGCATGCAAAGTGAAGTAAAATCAGAAGAATTTGGAGGGAGTATGATTTTGGTGCCCAGGTTGGCACCAGGCAACAACCAAAACACCAATGGCAGAATAGCACAGAAGTGAAAAATTTCGGTGTCCAGGTTGGCGCCAGGCATCAAACGAGACGACTAAGGGCATATTTCATCCTAATTCGACTAGGACTTGATAGTTTCGACCCTACATGCTCCTACATGTATAAAATAGGTTCTAAACCTATTTTTAGGGGTTAGACATTATTGGAGAGGAAAAAGGCTACGGGAACACTTAGAAGCAACAAATCACATGATTTTTTCTCTTCCATTCTTCCTTAATCTGTATTTTAATGCTTTCAATTATTATCATGATTGTTAGTATGGTTATTAGTAGCTAAACCTTCCCAACTAGGGTTTGATGTAACCTATTGGAGGATGATTTGTTCACTACGTTTAATATAATTTGCCGTTGATCTTTCTCTACTTGTTGAACTATATTTTCGTTGTTGTTAATTGAAGAGCTCTCAATTAACTGTACCTATTTAGTGTATATTACTCGAGAGGGAGTACGTATTTAGTTAGTCGTTGAACAACACCACTCCGAACGTATTTGAGAGATCAATACGGAGGGTTTAAATACGGGATTAGAGATAACGAAACCTTGGTGCGATCAGAGTGAGCGGTGAATTAGTGCCAGCTATCGTAGTTCGAGAGAATATGTCTAGTAAATTGTGGTAGCTGCTCGAGAGAGAGCTACGACACCCAAAGTGTTCACGATTGGTAGAGAATACTTAAGCGAATTTATAGGAAACGTAGCGGGGCAGATTCCAACAATAGGGGAAATCATAACCCTAAACTTTTCCAAATCCTGTCCCCATATTTGCTCTGTTAGTTATAAATTACCGTATTTTAATTACTCTTATCTTAGTTAGTAAACACTCAAGTCGATATTTAGTATTTCTGAATGTTGATTACTTGAATTCTTGCGAAACTAGTGGTTGTGATTAATAGGTTAATTCCCTGTGGGATTCGACTCCGGACTTGTAAACCGGATTATATTTGCAATGACCGCTAGACCTTTTAGAAGACGTAGTTGGGCGTGATGAGCTTGGTATAAACATCTTATGCAGATAAATTTTTACCGTCTTTCATCCTTTTTTTTAGAATAGACAACTTAGTAAGAGGAAAAGAAAGAATACAATATACAAGTTTTATTATGAGAAAGAAAAAGAAGAATATCAATATGCTACTGTACTAGTGGTGGAGCTTGAATCAAATTGTTTGTCTATAGAGGATGTAGCGATAACCCAAGTGCACTCTACTAGAAAGTCAAGATTAGAATGTAAATCAACTATTAGTCACCACAAATCACATTGGCTAAATAATACTCTATTTTTTGAAAAAATAGATTATTTTATTTTCTTTACCTATAATTTAAGTATGTCATATGTGACATAACTTATTCGAAATTTAGTTAAAATTCATTTAAGACATATTAGTCTAATTATAAAGTTGTTATAACAAATTACTTAGAATTCAGTTAGGTACTGCCTCTATCTGGTGCAAATTTAGCGAAAGGAAAGAGTCGGTCTAATAAATCATAAATTGTCTTTAATAGTATTAACAATTAAAGGAGTTTAAATTTGCAAGTGTTTTGGCTATAGGTAATCATTTTAATATTTTATAAAGTGTAATAAATAGACTACTGGAGATTATAGTTGCCCAAAATAAATGCGAAAGAATAAACTATGCCACTTAGTGCACATTGCACAATATTTTAAAAAATACATCCCATATATGCTTCTTCAAATATCTGAAATTCTGAATAATACAATTCTATTAGTTTTTATTACTAAGCTCAGCATCATCTGCAAGATTTACCATAAGCAACGATTTCTGTAGTGTGTTTCACTACTTCGTGAATATTGCAGAGAGGATTATTATCGTTAGATATAGTAAATAGATTTTTACCGTCTTTCATCCTTTTTCTTTTTAGAATAGACAACTTAGTAAGAGGAAAAGAAAGAATACAAAATTGTAATACCCCAATATTTTAAATAAGGACATATTAGATATTTAGTAAATAATTTAAGTTCAAAAAAAAGAACTAACTAATAAAACAAAACAAATCAAAAAAAACAAAATGATAAGGAATCCAAATAAAAAGGGCCGAAGCCCATTCTCTGGCCGAAAGGGAAAAGGGAAAAGGGAAAAGGGGAAAGGGAAAAGGGAAAAGGGAAAAGGGAAAAGGGAGGGAAAAGGGCAAAGCAGCAAGGCTGCCTAAAACTAAAACAGAAGCTAAAAGGGATTGAAAAAAGAGAAAATCCCCTTTGCCAACGCACAACAGGGAAAACGAAAGGGGGGAAAGGTGTGCCACGTGCAAAATACCTTTTCCATTCAAACAATTGGCATATATTGTTCAGCCTCAGTGATAAGCCCGGGTAAATTATAACTGTTAATCGGGTCGGGCTG